TATTAATTATAGTGTGTGTGTGTGTGTGTGTGTGTGTGTGTGTGTGTGTGTGTGTGTGTGTGTGTGTGTGTAAAAGTCTGATTGCAAGTATTTGAAAATATAATATAATCTAACTACAAATTCTTAATTATTGCAATCTGATTATTTACATATAGTAATCCAGATTACATGTAATCAGTTGTGTGTGTGTGTGTGTGTGTGTGTGTGTGTGTGTGTGTGTGTGTGTGTGTGTGTGTGTGGCAAAAATGGCCAAGCAAAAAAAAATTGGCCAAGAAGAAAAATCCATAAACAACTCTTCACTGCAATTTTTCCCATAAAAAAGCAGAAATATTAAGTTTGACAAGGCCAAAATAATTTGAATCATAATGAAGTACTGATAAGACGTGAAAGAAACTTATTACAGTTTGAGTCATGTTGCTAAAAATATTTTTATGATCAATCTCTCGAATATTATTGTGATTCCAAATTTGCAATTAATAAAACCCATTTGTGGGATGTTCATCCATACAGTATACTTTTGAAAATACCATTCATGAAATTAAGCAATAGAGACATCTATTGCTCAACAATGCACCCAAGTTGCAAGATGAATCTCAAAATTATAACAAACAGCTTGCACTTGATACTTTGTTTGTGCCAAGAATGTGTGCAGTTAATGAGAGCAGATGAGAAGCGCACTATCCGCTTACACTGAGAAAGAGCTACAGGTTGAAAAGAGCCCTTGATTCAAGTAAGAGAAAGGTACTCGAGCCTCAAACCAAAACAAGCCTGTTCACTTTGCGGCTTGAAAACTGAGAGCACAATGCCTGTCAAATGGAGTGTGACATTCCAGCGTTTTCTGTGGGAAAGCGGTAATTGCTTTTTTCAGTGTTTGGCCGTTGGTTGCACAGGCTGTGAATCCTGCCCACCCACTAATGAGTGAACGAGGTTCTGCTGTGCTCACTGTTTCCTGACCGAGCTGTGCGGGAGAATCAGGGCTCGGCTTTCTTCACCGAATCTGTCCGTTCTTTCATTTTTTGCAGAATGAGGTTTTCAGCATCATTTTTATGCTTCCTACTTGGTCTTCTAGGACTAGGAGGGACTCACGGTTTGCTGTTAATGGAAGATCAGGGGGAGGAACTGGAAGATAGAGACCTGAGCAAAGCTATTTTGGAGATGTTGCATATAAACAAACTGTCAGCGCCTCAGCAGGCAAAGCCACACCCCTACATGAAGCACGTTTACCAGTCCCTGGACGCACAGGCAAGAGACCTGAGTGGTGCTGATGGGACTCTTGTGCAGAGCTTCCGGAGCATTGAAGGTAAAGACATTTTTTTATTTTGAATAAACTAATTTAAATCTTGAAATAAAATTAAAAATACAATTTTTCATTGCCAATCAATGTTTTCCTTCATTTGAGGTTTACTTTTATATGAATAATGTAG